GGCCGCCGGGCGCCGGCCACGCGTCTGGGCTCTACGGGAGCATCCCCGGGGCCCGGGCTGCCGCGGGCTCCCAAAGCCCGGTGCCGACCATGGGTACCTTCCCCAGGACTCGCCTGCGGGCATCCCTGGCCGGGCAGGAGTCCCTGGGTACCGGCCGCGGGCATCCCTTGCTCCGTATCGTCTGCCAGGTACGGAGCGAGGGCTGGCGGCAGCGCAGCCGTGTCCGTACATCCCGGTGCCCCCTCCATCCACAGGAGGCTCCGGGAGCTGTATCTCCAGGAGGGAACTGAGTGCGGTGGGGACACGGTGTGCTACGGAGCGGGACGGGGCTGGGGAGCTGGGGATGGGGGTGCCCGTGGGTTTGGGGTGGGTGCGTGTACCTGCTCTGCGAGCCATGGGCCCGGGGTGGGGATGTGCGGGAGGGAGGATGGCAATGCACAGACCTACGCATGAGAACAGGTCGGTTTGGAGGGAATTCGCTTGTAAAATACGTACATACTGGAGCTTAAAGAGGTTTTCAAGAAACCTGGGAAGCTCAGGCAGCGAGGAATGTGGGTTTTACACATACTGTAGCCTTTTTCCGTTCAGTTGCATAAGAGTTGTTACACTGGGGGCGGAGAGGGGGGTGTCGCTTCACTCTCAGCTTGTTTGCTTGTGCAGTTTCTGCCGGGCTCCTTTGAAAGAGGGAGGATGTGGGGTTATGAACAAGCTGAAATGAATAAAGTAACACTCGGGACGAACAATACTGGCAGTGCCAGTGAGAGCTTTCAAAAACCCGTAACATTTTCCAGCTGCTCACTCTAAAAACATCAGGCTGGAGTTATAAAACTGCCTGCCACAGGTGTGTGAGAAGGGACGGGGTTCTGGGAGGGAGAGTGAGCCAGAACCACACTAACCCGAGCAGTCACAGGCAGACAGTGTTTATTAGCAGTGGCTAGTAGATGTGCCTGCATTGGCTACTAGCTGCCTTAGAGGCAGTAGATGGTGTGTTTGTAAGCTGGATTTATGGATAGACAGTGATCCTAAGTTTCCACATACACACATGAACTCCTTTGCCTCCAGTTAGGAGAAGTGGCTGGCCTTCCTTCTCCTGTGGTCCTGTGCACGGATGAATGAGTCACTTGTGGAGGAGAAGGGAGCAGCACAGGGCCCTGCTCATGCTCTGAGCCTGGCAGCCCCTCACCAGGGCAGAGCCACTCAGGTCTGGCCAGGCTGGAAGTGCCACTCACAAATGGGAGCTCTGTGCCCATCCCAGGAGCCCTGGGAGAGGGGCTGGGGTGGATGTGCTGGTGCAGCTCCGGGGGAGCAAGTGGGATGAGCGGGGGGTGTGGGATCAAGGGATCCTGGCTGGAAGAGAGCAGAGAGAGGCTTGGAGGGAGGATGACCCTGCTCACACCTTGCTGCTTCACAGAGGGAGCTCCTGCCCCATGTGGGCTGTTGGAGATCATGTACTCAGGGCCTCTGTATGGGGGCACTGGGAGGCAGCTGGGGTTGCTGCAGCTCAGCTGCCTGGTCACAGGCTGGGATGCAGTTGGAGTTCCCTGGCATGGCCATCACACAGCCTGTGGAGCACAGCCTCAGGGCTGAGCACAGGAATGAGCAGCAGGGCCTCAGCCCAGCTCTCATGGGTTTGCCATGATGGCCTGGGTGGTGTTGAGACACCTCTGGCAGGTGGAGGCAGAGAAAAGGGGCTGTCAGGATGGAGCAGAAGGGTTTGGTAAGAAGGGCTATGGTGTCTCCTGTTGGAGTGTGTGTGTGTGCATGCGCAGGGTGAGTGTGCACAGCACTCCCCCAGCCCCACCATGTCACACTCAGGGGCCAGAGCAGCAGGGTTTTGGCTCTCCCTGAGTGGGCAAAGATTGATGAAGGAGGGACAAGCACTGATGGCAAACAGGTGAAGACAAAGCACTTTCCCTACCCATCCATACCAAGCTCCCCAGCTGGCACGGGGGAATCCACGTCCTCCCGCCTCACTGAACACCTCTCTGCACCTGCAGCTTGCGCTGGCCCATCTGCTCCATCCCGCTGACCTCCTGCCTCAGCTCTGCTCTGCACTGCGGGCCTGTGCCCTCCTCTCCTCCCGCTCTGCCGTCTGCCACATCCCCCTGTCCTTAATCCCTGCCTCACCACACATCCCTGCTGTCTCTGCCCCTGTGGACCAAGTCCATCTGCTCCTGCCGGCAGCCCTGCCTTCAGCTAGAGCAGCCTTGGTCTCCATCTGTCCTACCAGCAGTCCTACATCCTTCCCACACACTGCCTTCCTCCCAGCCAGCTTATCCTCAGTGCCTTTGCTGCTTGGCTCAGGAAAGCTGGCTGGTACCTGTGGCACGCAGCTGCAGGTGGCTGGCAGGAGGGGAGAGGCTCTCTGTACTCACTGCCCTGGGGATCTGAAGGGGTTTCCAGCCTCCCTCCCAGATCTACTCTGTGATGGAGGGACCCACGATGCTGCAGCCCTGCAGAGCAGCATCTCCTCCCTGTGCCTTGTCTGTGGCAGCACCCACAGCAAGGCCTGGAGGCTCTGGGGTTGGCCCCTGCACTGGCAGTGCTCCAGGAGCTGCAGCAGGACAGAGCACCCCTGCCAGGCACTGCTGGAGCTGTTTCTGGGGTTCTGATTGTCCTCACAGCCTGTCTCACCACACAGTCCATGCTGTGCCAAGCACAGCCCAGCTCTGGGGACACCACCAGCACTGGTGGCAATGTGGCTGTGACTGTGACAGGAGCCACGCTCCTGCTGCATGGTTGTGATGCACCTCCCCAGCAGCTGCCCAAGCTGGGGGGCTCCTTCCAGCTCCTGCCCCCCAGACCTCACTGGCAGTGTCCCGTGCTGTCTGCTGGGCAGGGGGTGACACTGTCTCGCTGTGTTTCCCCCAGGAGCTACTGTGCCTACGTGGTGCAGCGCAATGTGACATGCACGCTGCAGGACGGGGCCGAGAGCTACGTCAAGGCCGAGTACCACAAGTGCAGCTGGGGACCCAAATGCCCAGGGAAAGTGCTGTGAGTATGGGGGACACCAGGCATGGCTCCCTTCCCCTCCCAAAGACCTCTTTCTCCTGAGACCCTGTGCCACCTTCCTGACCGTGAGCCCCCACTTTCCAGAGAGCAGTGAAAGGGGCTGAAGGACTTTTCCTGGACATGGCAGTCAGTGGCAGGGCCCTGGTGTTGGGAGGAGGCAAGGTGGGATCTGTCAGGAGGGTGAGGGAGCTCCATCCCTCCTCAGAAACTGTCAGGGGAGGCTTTGATTGGATGTCATGAAAAGGTTTTCACCCAGATGGTGGTTGAGCACTGGAAAAGGATCCCCAGAGAAGTTGGTCATGGCACCAAGCCTGACAGAGTTGAAGAAGCATTTGGACAATGCTCTCAGGCCCATGGTGGGATTTTTGGGGGTGTTCTGTGCAGTTGTTGGGCACAGTGATTCTTATGGGTCCCTTCAAATTCAGGAAATTCCATGATTCAGAAATAAATCTGGAAATCATGGGAAGTGGGGAGGTGTCTGTGCATGTGTGTAGGAAAGCAGCTTGTCACGGACCTGCAATGAGGCAGAACGATGGCAGCTCAGTGAGAACCTGACCGAGAGGATGAGGAAATGGAGCCTGTGGCTGGGGATGGTTCTGTGCTTCCTGCTCCAGGAAAATATTTGCAAAACTCTTTGCCACCTCATCAGTGTTGGAAGGAAACATTCCACTGCTCCACAGCTGGAGCTGCAGACATTGGGGCTTTGTGCTTCATCACCCTCCGGGGATGCCATTCCATGTGGAAAAGCTGTCCTGCATCCTCCCCAGGCTTGGGGAGCAGAGCTGAGCACAGAGGAATACTGGGATAAGAGAAGTTCTTGTCAGAGCCTAGTACCCATCCTGTGGCAGCTGGCTGGGACTCTCCTTGTCCTGGTGGTGCCATGGGCTCTACTCTCATCCTCTTCTGGCAGAGATGGGCAGCCAGACCTCCCCACTCACTTGTTCTTTCCATCACAAATGTCTGAGCAGCATTTGGGGACTTCAGGACATCCTGCAGCTGCTGGTGCCCATGGAGGAGATTTCCAAGGCTTCTCCGTTCTCCACAATGTCCTCTGTTTCCTTGAAACAAAACCAGGGTGAAACCAGGATGCTTTCTGAGGGCAGATGGACCCACAGCCGAATTTTCTGCAGAGCTTCAGATGCTTCATCCATGGACAAAAGGGAAACATGGATTTTCCACATGCTTGACCATCAGCTAATATTTGTGCAGCTGGCTACAAATACTTCTTGCTGCTGTTTGGTGCAGGGGTGAAAGATTTGGAGGTGCCCAAGGCTTGGAGCTCCTCTGTGGAGGCTGAGATGACACAGAGGAGGTGCTGGGATGACACAGAGAAAGTACTCTGCCTTTTGGATGCCATCCTCCTCCTTTCTTCACCCCCTGACAGTGGCTGGAGCAGCAATCTCCCCTGGTACATCCAGGCAGGTTTCTACACACTACAACAGAAGGAAAGCTCATTGAAACTCAGCAGCGCCTGTGAAGAGGAGTAACAAGAAGAGCTTGTTTTGAAACTGTCCCTTTGGGAAATTGATGAGAAGTTTTGAAGAGATTCAAAGAGCAGAGGATTTGGGTTTGGATTATCCCCCTGCCCTGTGGTGTGTATGGAGGTGGCTGTATCTCACTGGGAATCATGTGGAAGCACTGCCAGGGGCTGCAGCCTGGACTGGGGACACTGGATTCTGACAAGGACATGGATGGCAGGGAATCAGCCCCATGTGCTGCCCTGACTGATGGATAAGTGCCTTCTTCAGCCCCTCTGCAGCATGGATGGCTGTGCTGCTCCTCCAAGACCTTCTGCTGAACATGCTGGGGAAGAACAAGAGGCTGATCGTGTGTGTTATTGCAAAACAGCAGACTTCAGGATTTTCAGGCCCTGGTAAATTCAGATTGGAAATTTCCAAAAGGAAGGCTTAAAGCATTGGTACTTAGAGCTGTTGTGAAAAGTGGTGTGTTCAGCTCTGTGCGGCTCAGCTCAGCTGGTGGGGGGACACAGGTGCCAGCAGGGTCCTGTCCCATCACTGCTGCCTCACAGGGAAGTGGCACAGAGGAGCAGGGAGCAGCTGAATCCTCCCCCATGGCTGGTGGGACCCCATCCAGAGTGAGAGCAGAGGGAGAAGGTGTGAGGTGGGCTTGCACCTTATGTTCTGGGTGTGGGAGGATCAATGCTGCAGTACCCAAATTCATGATGGAGACACTTCTTAGGGCATCCCAGCTGGGGCAGGAGGCAGTGTAAGGAGCCATCCCTCTGTGCACATCACAGCATCACTCTGGAGACCCTCACCAGGCCATCCCGTTAGGCTGCCCAGCAAACTGATGCCCTCCACACAGAGAGAAAATACCTTTCCAAAGGGCCTTCCAGACAGGATCACAGTTGAGAAGAAGACTTTTTTGATCCCACTAGGAAATTATATAGGTCAATTCAAAGTGCAAACCACTTTTACATACAGTCCACTTCCCTCTTAGAGGTGATGTGAGCTTGCAGGGCTTTTGAAATCAGTTCCATAATTTCATCTTGTGCTGTGCTGATGTTGCCAAACAGTGTGGCATTGTCACAGTGGTCACCTATCAGGCCAGGGACTGCAGCAATACACTTGGAGCTGCAGCTGTAAATCAGCACAGTGTCCTAGGTTAAAAAATACTCTCCCTAAGCCCCACTGTAATGCTACACTGAGCTATGGTGCAGCAAGAGCTCTTGGACAAAATGGGCCATGGTCTGCGAGTGCAGCACGAGGGTTTCAGCCAGGCTTTTCCATGTGCCCAGATCTCCCACCTCCAACAGGACCATGACCCTGCTCCTTTGCTTGATGTTGAGGTTGCTTCTCTAAACTCTCTTCTCTCTCCCTCCTCTCTCCTGGAAAGGTACCGCACCTTCTTCAGGCCCAAATACAAGATTGGATACAAGACAGTGACCGAGCTGTCCTGGAGGTGCTGCCCAGGCTTCATGGGAGAAGGGTGCCATGACAGCCCGACAGACCAGCCTGGCCTTCTGCCCCAGCATCCCAGCCCTAAAATGCCTCCTGGGCAAAAGATGTTTCCAATGCCCAGACTTCCTCCCTATCCCAAAAGCCACCCTGACCTGTTTCCAGGACCAAAGAAGAATCAATATGGTGAGATCTTGCTCCTGCTTCATGTCCCCAGGTCACCACACCATTGTCATGCACTCAAACCTCCAGGTTCTCTCTGTTCCAGTGCAGAGCGTGAATCTGGCAAAAATTCAGTGGGTGACATGTTTTCTGTCAGAGATCTGACATTTGTTTGCTTTGAGGACCACTTGTTTTTTAAGTCTTGTTTCTTTCAAAACATGCAGCTTCAAAATTGCCTTTCCTCATTGATTTAGAGCATTTTTCCATTAATTATGGGGTTGATAGGGTGTGTCTCAAGATGAAGCTCTCCTGGGCTGTTATCATCACCTGCTGTTGAACTTGGGAACGGAGGGCTGGATCCCAAGAGGAAAGAGGGTTTCCTAATAGCTTAAGGAGAGGTGTGGGCTGAGATTTTGCTGAAATAACAGAGAGCAGGACACAAGGTTATTATGGGAAAGGATTTAAAGGAGCGAAGTTAAAGGAGCACCAGCCCTCATTGTGCCTTCTCACTTTTCTTCCCTGTGCAGGCAGGAAGCTGCCTGGTCTCTTCGGGGACCGCCTGGATCGGCTGGAGGAGGAGGTGAGGCGCCTTTCCCAGTCCTACGACAGCCTGCACACCATGGTGAGTGGGCTGGGTGACCGCCTGCGCTTGGCCATCCAGGAGGACACCACCAAGATGATCGGCTCCCTGATGAACAGCCCAGGCACGCCAGACTCATCCGTGGGCTTCGGCATCATTCCCGACGGCCTGGTGGACGTGGCAGACAAAGCCGACATCGCCACGTTCCCTCCCGTAGGGGAGATCCTGACCAAAGTGACGGAGGTGAGCGATGTGCTGAAAACCAAGGCGGATCTGCTGCACGAGGTTCAGGGCATGGTCCTGGACCACGATGGGCAGATCAAGCACCTGCTGGAATCCGCCAGGCCCTCGCCCCTCACCTCCATCGACCTGCTGGAGGAGTACGTGGACACGAGGCTGAGCAACCTGCGTGGAGAGCTGCTCGACGGCTTTGAGAAGAAGCTGGGTAAGATCCAGACCACGTGCGATTTCCGCATCCAAGAGGTGCGGCAGCAGTGTGAGGAGGAGAAAGCTGCCAACCTGCGGCTGCAGCAGACACTGGATGGGAAGGAGCTGGAGATCAAGAAAGAGATCTCTCAGCTGGAGACCCAGATCCAAGGGCTGACAGTGGTGGAAAGCTGCTGCAGCAACCTGGACTACCTCACCGATCGCATGAACATCCTTGAGAAAGGCCTTCACAGCATCTCCGAGTCCCAGAAGAACCTGCACTCACGCCTGGATGGAGAAATCTCCACTGTCACCCTAGGGAACCTCTTTGAAGGGCGCTTTGAGGACCTGGAAGCCAGGCTCAATGCTACAGAGAGGGAAACAGGGAGCTGCTGCTCTGGTATAGAGGACAGCATGAAAGGCACAGTGGTGGCAGAGGTGGATGGCATGAGGACTGCCTTTGAAGACAAAATGCAGACCCTGGAGGACAGGTTCATGACCATTGTGGGGGAGCTGAACAATGTCAGCTCTCCTATGGCCATGGATGGAGCAGTGGTGCCTGTGCTGGAAGGGGAGCTTGCCAGCATGAGGAAACGAACAGATGAGACACTGGAGGTGTTGCAGAATCGCCTCATCACACTGGAGAGCACCTGCTCCCTGGGCTGCACCTCTGCCTCCAAAGATGTGGAGACCTTTCGGACGGAGATCGAGGATTGCCAGAGTAAGAACCAGGACCTGCTCCTCCGGATGGATAGCAATTATGACCTCCTGCGCAAGCTGAACGCCACCATCCTGGAGATCCAGCGGCGAATCGAGGAGGAAGCATCGGGGGCTTTGCAAGGGGAGATCACCTTGCTAAAGATCAACCTGAACACTGTGAGCAAGTCTCTAACAGGGCTCAAGAACTCCGTCTCCCAGTACTCAGACACCGTCACACATGTCAACTCCTCACTAGATGAGCACGAGCGGAAGATTGAGGATGAGGTCCACTCCATCCAGGAGAAAGTCAACGACCAAGGCTCCCAGCTTTTCTTCAGCAACCGCCGTGTCCTGAACCTCAAGGGAGACCTGGAGCGACTCAAAGCCAGGATTGTCAGCGACCTGAGCTCCTGCAAGAACGTGGCCCATGGCCTGCAGCAGGAGGTCTCTCACTTCGATGAGCGGGTGGCGCGGGTGGAGAGCGCCTGCGGCAGGCTGGGGGCCATCACTGGCAGCCTGGACAACATCAGGGAGGAACTGGAGAAACACACGGGCAGTCTGTGGGACTACATGGACCACATGAATGGGACACTGGCTGCCCACTCTCAGGAAATAACGGGACTGAAGGACAACTTGCTTGACTGCCAAGCCAAGGTCTCTGAGCTGGCGGAACAGGTTGGGCACTTAGAAGAGAAGGCAGAGAGGAGGCAGCATTAGCCACACTGCCAAGCTATGTGTCTTCCTTCTCCTGCTGTGAAGGACAGGATTAAATTATATTACACAGACTTGCTCCAATGTGACAACAGTTCTTGGGATATTTTTTTTTATGAAAAGCTGCTACATTTTTTTTTTCCCCTTAATCTTGTTGGCCCCACTGCTCTTTAACTCCACCATGCTGGTACTCCCCTCCTGATGCTCAGCAACTGTCCTGACCCTGGTGCAGCAGTGTCACTGCCTCCTGCCTGGGGGTGTTGCTTTGGTTCCTGGGCTGATGACCCCAGAAGAAAAATTCAAGAGTAAGCTGGAGGCAGAAACTTTTTTTTTTATTTTATTTTTGTGGATTTATCATTTCTTGAAGAATAAAACCCTATAATTATCAGCTGAGGAATAGTTCCTCTGACCTAAAGACCACCTGAATCTTAATCCAGAGACTGAGCAGAGCCTGGGCTCCTTGCAGGGAATAAAACTCACCACAGGAATTGTAGATTTCAAAGAACACACGTATTCACATGTTCCTCCAGGAACTGGCTTCCCTTCTCCGAGATGGCAGCCCTCCTTATGTATGGTAAATCCATTTATAATGTTCCCCTTCCGTGCAAATGCACATGCCTTATGGAGCATATGAGGGCGTGCATTAGGAAAATACATATGCATATGTGTATATATATATATGTATAATATATATATATGGTATGTGTATGTATATTTTTGAACAATCGTGTTATGGTGCTCATCTGATTCCAGTTTCCTAATGCTGCCCCTGTGTCCTTTGCCATATTCCAAAGACCCATGCTGAGGAGCTAAAAGCTGGGGCAGCAGTGTTTGGAGAGAGTCCCATGGTCCCTGGGGCTGCTGTGCTTTGCAATCCCACTTTGCTGGGCTCTCTGGTTACACCTGGGACTGACATGATGGGTTATGGAAAACACGTGTCTTCCCCAAGGAGAGGTGTGTCCATAGGTCTCTGCTGAGACCAAGCTGGGCACAGAGCAGTCCTGTCCTCCAGCTCTGGTTCTTCCTGTTTTAGTTCTTAAACTGTGAACTCCATCATCTGGTCCCAAGCAGGAGAGTTCCAGCTGCTCCAGGGTGTGAGTGCAGCAGTGGAGGAGCAGGAGCCTGCATCCTCACTTCACATCCTCTTCTGATCCCACTGGGATGCCAGTAGCCCTGGGACCAACACTGATGTGGAACAAGGCAGGGCATCTGTAAGAACACTTTTGGAGACCTGTCCTCAGCTCAGAATGAAAAACCCATGTCATTTACCCAGCTTGACTCTAGTTTCCCGTGAACAGGTAGGCTGGAGAACGTTGTCCACATTCCTGAGCAGCTCCAGTCTTGCCCTACAGAGCTGTTGCTCACAGAATCCACCTCTCCCTCGGAGCCCACCATGGGCACCCTCCATTGATCAGCCAATGGGGACTTCATTACTAGGATGAGGAGGAAATTACAGAGCCTCCATCCAAGCAACTCTGGCACTTTATAGCAGAGGAACATATTTTTCTCTCAGTGTTGTAGCTCATGAACCCTTCCACGCAAGCCAGCCTTTGGCTCGCACACAGTACCTGTCACCCTCACCAGGCTGTCCCTGCTCCTCTGCACCATGATTCCCTCCCTTGTCCCCCCCGATTGCATAAAGGAGCAGCTCTGTGCTCTGACCAGCACAAACCAGCAGCAGCTCCCAGCAGAGATGCATCTGGGCACCTTTTATCACCCAGAAAATCTGTGTGAGCTCCCTTAAACATGCTTCCAGGCTAGGGACGACCACAGGGATCATTGAGACCAGTAGCCACACCATGTTGCCCTTGTGTAAAACCTTGTTCCCCTGCCAGAGGAGCACGAGCCATCAGCTGTGAGAGCATAGAGAGGACACATGGCTCCCCCCACCACTTTCTCAGCCCTGCCAGGTGCTGAGAGCACCAGAATCCACTCTCACTGCTCTGGGCTTTGCTGATTTGGAGCTACCCTCCAGCTGCTGAGACACTTCTCCAGGTGAGGAATGACCTTCTGCTGCCATTGGGCATCCTGCAAAACCTGCTCTTAGACAATAAAACCTATTTTTTCTCCAGCCTAAGGAAGGAGTCTCAAGCCAACCCTCAGTACTTTGTGATGGGCCAGGGGAGCCCTCATCCTGCATGGGGAGCTTTCTGCCTAAGCCCCTTCTCCATCCCCTCACACCAGGGAGAAAACCAAAGAGAAAACCAAGCCAAGGGCCAGGCTCCCTGTTCCCCAGCCAGGGCTGGGTTAGAGTGGCTGAACAGGAACAGCTTCCCCAGAAAAGAGGGAGCGAGGACTGGCCATAACAAAACTAGGACAAGGAAGAAGTCTGACCTTCCGGAAAATGGTGCTATGTTTGGACTATTCCTGACTAGTCACTTGAAGTTATGGACAGTTTGTTATTTCAGTTCTCAGCTATTCATGTTTAAAAAGTGAAAGGAACTTTGTACAAAACCGGGCATTTTTTTAAAATTGCTTGCAGACTAAGGAAATGCTGTCCATGGGGTTGTCCTTGCATGGGCAGCTTTCTGAGGCAGTTGATAACTGATCCTGTTAAAAGACTGTGTTCTATTGTTTTCAAAACCATGTCTATTTGTTCAGATTTTAAAAGCTATAAAACTGTTTGTACTGGAAAGGAAAAAAATAAAGTATTTCTTGCTGAGGTTTCCAAGATCAAAATGATTTTTGTGTGGCTTCCAGAAGTGGCAGACAAGGAGATGACTTACACACAGGGGTCAGGGAAGGAGAAGGTAGATGCCAGACTGGAGGAAGGAGCCCAGCAGTGCTTCTGCCTTTGTTCTACTTTATAACCTCCCATGAAGAGAGAGTTGGGGGTGCTCAGCCTGGAGAAGAGAGGGCCATGGGGAAGCCTCAGTGCAGCCATGCAGGACTTGAAGGGTCCCATAGGAAAGATGGGTCTGTGGTGGGAGAAGGGGGGATGGCTTTCAACTGTAGGAGGTCAATTTAGGTTGTATCTAAGGAAACTGGTATTTTAAACTAAGGGTGGTCAGGCACAGTCCCAGGCTGGGCACAGAGGCTGTGGAACATCCAAGGGATGGGGCATCCACAGCCTCTGTGATCCATTTCATCCAGAGCCAGGATGAGGCCCTGAGCAACCTGGTCTGGGGGGAGGTTGCTCAGGTTGGAACAAGATGAACTTTAGGGTCCATTCCGAGCAAAATCATGAAAGGATTCTATCATTTAACGGTCGCCATTGCCCCACGCGGAGTGATCCTGTGAGTCATGATGTGTGTCATAACACCATGAGGTGGCATTATGTGTTATTATTGGCCCTGCAGCCACCACGCCCTGCTCACAGTGCACCTGCACCCGCCACTGCGCGGGAAAAATCGACGCTGTCGTCAGTCCCGCCTTCTCCCTGCGGCCTGGACCTTGCCATCCACCCCTGCAGCGTGCTCGCTTCTGTCCCAGTGAAGGTACAGTGCCATTCCATGGAGGTGGAGACCCCTGGGCTTCCTGGGTGGGCTGGAGCTCTGTGGGGATGTGTGGGACAGGGCCCCAGCTCTGAGGCTTTGCTCCCAACGCAGGCTGTCCCAGACAGAGCGGAGGAGATGGAAATCGATATGAGGATTGATAGAGAAGAGAGTATGGCTATAGATGGAGAGGAGAATGGAGAGGAAGAGATGGAGGTGGCTGTGGAGGAGACTGAGGAAGAAATGGAAGTGGAAATGGAAGATGATGTTGAAGACATGGAAATGGATGAGAAAGGTGAGGAGGAGGAGGAGATGTTCTTGGGATGAAGATGGATCCCAGCAGCAGGACAGGCAGAGTGGGTCCCCTGCTGCCAGGCTGGGGCTGGGCTGGGTGGCTCTGCTCAGGGACACGGTGCAGGGGGGACCCTGGGTTCTGGCAACACAAGCACCACCCCCAGCCTGCCCTGTGCTTGCTTTGGGCCACGCTTTGGGTGCCACTGCCTGGGGCTCAGCCCTCAGCCCCAGCCAGGCTCAGTGCTGGCAGCAGAGTCACTCTGTCAGTGTGTCCCAGCCTGGGGGCACAGGGAACAGCCCTCTGTGCCTGACTGGAGTGACCGTGTCACTTGCTTTTCTTCCAGGACTGATGGAGATGGAGATGCTGGGCAGGGATGCAATAATTCTGTATGTATATTTTAGAGTTTTTTGTTAACTTTTCATCTGTAAATATGTTTTAGAGTCTGTTATTCTCTTGTGTACCTATGTTTCATACATTTCTGTATAGGTTTTTGTAATTTTATAGATTGTTGTTGTTATAAAGATTCTTACATTTAAAATATGTTATGTAATTCATTTTTGTTGCTGCTCTTCTGTAAATAAACAATCTTTTGTGTGAATCTTTATTCTTCACACCCCAGCTCTATTTGCATTTGCTTTGGGTACAGGGAGCTTTTGCAAGGCTATGGGTGCCTGGGGCTGGATGTCCCTGGTGCTGTTGGCATGGCCACCCTGGGGCTACTTGTGCACTGAGGGGTCTCACTCACAGGTCCCACTCTCCTTGCAGTTGCTTTGGAGTTGCATGGTAAATGCAGAGGCAAATCCCAGAGAGGCTGTGCCCATGGGATCGCATGAGGGAGCAGGGCTGAGCCTGCATGGTCCTGCAGAGCCTTATCCAGGGCTCTTCCCTGGGTGTCCCCAGTGCCAGGGAGGCTGCGCTGGGCTGCGGGCACACCCTGCTGCCAGGGACCCCGAGGGGCTGGAGCCAGCTCGGACTGAGCCTCGGCACAGGGGCCTCTGGCTTTTGCAAGGTCTCCTGTCCATTCAGCCCCATGTACATACAGAAGAAGTCTGGATTTGTTTTCTGGTTTTAATTAATTTTGGTACCTTAGCTAAACGTAGGAATTAAAAATAAAAAAAAAAAAAAAAAAGTGCCATTTTCTAGAAGCTGGTCCCATCACCCCCAGGACCCACTTGGTAGGATGCTTGAGCAGAATAATCCCAATTACATTTTTGAGACGACTTGGAGCCTGGCTCCCACCTCTATGCACAGGGCTAGAGCAGACAAGAGACAGCCTAGATTAAGGCACTATTTATTATTGCTTTTAGTTCAGAACACTCAAAACCCCAGCATCTTCCATTGACCTTTACAAGTCAGTGGACAGTTTCAACTACCAAACTGCAGATAGCTGGACTGTCTGAAACACTGGTCATACCAGAAGCAGTAATAGCTATGTCAGAGATTCATCAATAAATACAACAGTGAACAACCACCACCTTTAAAAAGGAGCCAGACTTTAGAGGAGCTACAAACACCAGAAGAGACCCAACTTTCAGGAATTTGTGTTTAGCAAATGGAGTTTTTGTAAAGTCAGAGCTCTCTCTTACCCCCTCTGGCTTCCTGCTAAGGGGTGTCATGACCTCTATTACAAGTGCAAAATGCCCCAGCAGCAAACAGAGAAAATGAGGTGCACCTGGAACACTTAGTCCTGGCAAAGAGCATGCAGGAGAGCTCTGGGTCAGGTCTCCACAGGGATGGGGCTAGGGCAAGCCATCCAAGTCAACATCAAGCAGCAGAGTAGGTAAAGTGGCTGTACTCTGGGGACACCAGACCAGTGCCTCTCCTCTGTCACACAGGAGGGAAGAAGACTTCCACCAGCTCCGACAGCTGCTCGTATCTGTGGGCGTAAGAAAGAAATTACACTGGGGTCATTGGATTTGATGCCTCTGTGCATCAAAGCCAGGTCAGCCCAAAGATGCTGAGGTATAAGCACTTTGCTTACGTTGACTTTTGGTTCTTTGCGAGCTCCTGGATCAGCTCTCCCTTGTGGTTTACTGTGAATATGTGGCTCTCTGGCAGCCCCACTTGCTTGTAAGCATACACATCCTGCCCAAGGAAGGCCAGCACGGCATTAGAGCTGCAGGAAGGCACCACCACCCAGCCTGAGCCCTCCCTGCACACCTGGAGATCCACTCACATTGGGCCTGTTCCCAAAACCAGCGTAGAAGGGACACTTTGTAGCAAACAGTTTTCGGATGTCTGTCAAGCAGGTGACCTTGAACACCTCTGGCTTCTTCTCAATCACCTCCCTGCAGCACAAGAGACACAGTCACAGTGTCATCAGCTGGCCAGGACAGTGGACAGCAAACCTGTCTGGGGCTCAAGGAAGTGATTTGAAGGGCAAGAGGTTTTGTGCATCAGAAGCTCCACTGTGAAGCTCCAAGATCAGGCAGCTCCCCTGCTGCCTCCTACGAAAGGCGTTGTGCACCAAGGAGGGCAGAACAGTTTAAGGCTGGGACATCCCTCAGCGTCAAGCTGTGGAACAGGGTGCTGTCCCCAGGGATATAGGAGGTGCAGGAAAAGACAGTACCTGTGGAAGGCAGACAAGAGGCTACTGGGGGAAAGCAGCATGGGGCCCATGGGGAGGCCACAGCCTTGCTCATTGACCCATTTGAGGTAGCCTTTGGTGATGTGGGCCATGCCAATAGCCCTGGCCGAGCAGTAGAGGAACTTGTAGCCATTCCTAGAGAGAACACAGGGAGCCCCTCTGAGCTGTGACCTGGGGCAAGGCATTCTCCTGCTCTGAGGAGGAAGAGGTAGCCAAGCACCTGGCCTAAAATCTTATTCCAGTAAGCAAGGTGGTTCCACAAACATGAATCCCTTATCTGGAAACCCAGACTAAGCCAAATCCCCACCTGCCTCACACTGGGAATCCCTGCACCACCCTCCATGCTTATCCCAGCAGCCACACACGCACCCAGCCCAGCTGCACAGCACCCATTGCTGCCCAGCACCCACAGCACTTTCACCCCACAGCACTGCCTGTCAGTTGTGGAGGGCTGTACCCAGCCCTCACAGACGCCCGGGCGGGGACAGAGCTCGGCAGAGGTGGTACCGGGTGGCCAGAGGCAGCCGAGGGGCCATCTTCGAGTTCTTGCAATCCCCGGGAGTGCATCCCTCCCATGCTCCTCCCAGGGCCAGAACGAGCCATCCACGGGCCCACAGTGCCTCTCAGTGGCCACAGGGGCCAGGGACCAATCTAGACACTCCACAGGGACTCACTGCTGGTGTCACACCTCGCAGGTGAGTCCCCTGGGCTGTGGGAAGCGATGGCTGGGTACCCAGAGAGGCACCAGCACCACAGTGCTGGGGACACCCGTGCCACCACTCTCAGGTGTGACCTTAGGTGTCTCTGCTGCTCAGCTGTATCTCCCCAGCAAAGCCTCCACTGACACACACTCCTTCCAGGGAAGGTAATGCCAGCATCTGCTCCCAGGGGACCTTCTGCTTTCACCCCTCAACATCATGTAGGCAGCACAGCCAGCATCAGCCACCACTGACAGCAGATAGCGCAGCTATATGGGCCTTCATCATCAAGTAAGAAGCCCTGACTCTGACTCCATCAGCTTCCCACTTCCCCTTAACCTCAGCTGATCCAATACCTACAGATGGATTTTGTGGAAGAGTGTAACAATCCCACGGTGAGTCCAATCTTTACCCAGTTGTGGCAAAATGTGTCCAAGAGCATCCGATCTAAAAGGAGGCCAGGTTAGTGTCATCCAAGGCGGTGAGTATCTATCCCCCACCCCAATGGGGTTTGTGCTCCCTTGTGCCTGCTTATGCAAGCCTTTAAAGGAGACTTTTCCCTAACAGGGGCAAAGAAGGATTTTGGGGTAGGAGAAAGGCCTTTTACTTGGTGATGGTGCCATCAATGTCTGAGATCACCACTTTTTCATTCCAGTTCCACAGGTAGATGGTGGCCTCACAGCGGCACGTGCCCTGGTACTGAGTTGTCACGCTGAATGCCACCTCATTGGGGCCATCCTGTAGATTCAACCTTCTCTGGGGTAGAGGAGCAGCAAAAGTGTTACACCAGCACCAATTCACACCACTCCAAGGCTTGCCAGAGGCCAGACTGCCACCCAGCCAGGCCAGAGAATCCCAAGACTCTACAGGGTAGCCAACAAGGGCAAAATATTTGGATGTCCCATGAAAACACGAGGTCAGGAGTAGAGAAATCCCCATTTAAGGGTTCTCTCACCCCTACACACATGGATAGTGAAGATGGAGGAATAAATACATACAATTTGTTCGGAGGAGAGACGCAGGGATTTCTTGTAGGTTGGTAAATGCTTCTGAGCAGGGGCTTCCACTGTCAACATGTCCCCAGGGTCCTGGGGCTCACTGTCACTGGATGACTCCTCTTCCTCTTGACTACACAAAGAAGGGAAGGGATCAGCCAGAGTCTTAAAAAAGCTTTCTACCCTCTTTTATTAGGCAAACATAGGAATAATTAGTCACACAGGAGAAAAGACCAGGAGTATTCAGACTCCAGAAGATGACCTGTGAGGGAGGCACTCACCTCTGCTGAGCAGGGTCATGCTGCAGTGCTCCCACGCTGGCTTTCCCTGGCCTCGGCTGCCACTGCAGGCAGAGAGGGGTGTGCTGGTTTTGGTGAATTTTCTTCACAATGAATGGTATGGGGCTGTGTTTGGATTTGGGCTCAACACAGTGTTGATAACAGAGATGTTTCTGTTATTGTTGAGCAGTACTTGCACAGAGCTAAGAGCAAGAGCAGGGGCTGGTTTGCTTCTCTTCCACTTGGAACAGCAATGCCAAAAGAAGTACCACTGCAGTCCCTTCACAGGGACACTGCTGGTGGAAGAGGAAGCACAGCCTGGTGCTGTGGTGGAGCAGGGAGACCAGCAAGCACACCTGTTGCCCAGGGACTTGGCATGATGGGCACATAGCAGGAGGTCTCACCACTACAAGGTCCACATTACTGCATTACCAAGTGTTGCTCTGCTGCTCAGGCATTAACAGACCAAAGGGCACAGGTAGCAACCTTAAGAAGTCACCAAGTCAGGTCCTGGATATCCTCACAGTCAACCTCAGGCCATCCCCAGGACCCTGTTCCCACCCCTTCCAGTCAGCAGAATGATGTCTGCTCCTGGGGACATGGTTGTCACATCCACTGCTGCCAACATACCCCCTCTGCTGGGAATTCTCTTCTCCTCCAGGAGAACCACCACCTTCTGTCTTTCTTGATCATCTTCTCCTTCACCAATTCGTCAATGATGCTCTGTGAACATGGCAGAACATGGAATGAGGTCAGTCCTCAGCCCAGGCCCTTCTGAGAATCATAGACAGTAAACGTGTTGTACTACTGACCTCAGGAATGTTCCTCTGGAAAGCCTGCAGGGCCAGGATTATGGGACCAGCCACTGCCCAGTTGTAATACCTGGAAAAAGCGAGAGGATGGACACATCACCATCCTGCAGCATGGCCAGGTCCCACAGCTGCTTCAGTACAGTCATGCTCTGGGATGGAGTCACATTCCTACAGGAGGGTCTCCACAAGGACAAAGGGGCCATGCTGTCCATTGTGGGATGAAGCAGAAGGAAGAGCAGGCCACTCACTTCTTGTTGATCATTATCACCAGGTTTGGGTCATCGACAAGCCTTGGATTCTCAGCAAATTGCTGGTAGGAAACCATGTGTTCCATGAACTTCTCTGATGGGACAGAGGCTGTGTCATGCCATTGGAGGATAGAAAGGATTTCAGGGCTGCAGATTCTCCCTCCCCTCCTACCTACCATGAGAGATCTGCCTGTTGCTCCTGAGGCCCCCACACAGTGACAGGGCAACTGTGGGCATCAAGTCAGAGTCCATGGGACTGTCGTCAGGCGAGGTGGATGGCAACTGGATACACAGAGGGTTGCTGGGGTCTGTCACAGGCCTCAAACTCGGCTTTGTGTCACTGCCAGCAAGGGAAGAAATGGTGGTGACATCAGAGAATAGCTTTAAACATACCTCCATCCTTTGTGCCAGGGGAATTGCTCAAAAATGTCTGAGCTTGGCCAGCTGGGCAACTCATACCTCCCAGAGATATACAGAGGCACCGGTTCATGGTCCGTCTCAGAGAGGTCTTCAAGGTAAATGGCACTGGGACCCAAGTGAGGACTTCTGATGGATCCTCAATGCATAGACAGAAGAGAGAGAGCTTAGCTGAATCACCTTTCCAATCACCCCAGCATCTATCAAGACAGCCAAAAGCATTTTCCTCAATCATATCTATGTACCTTACAAACAGGGTAGCCATTTTCCTACTGGAAAAACTGCCGTAAGTCAACAGCAACAGAAGTGCTTCGAGACACCTGCACTACCATGATCCCTAAATACACTGTGAAGGGGGGAACATAAATGCTGCTCTGTGATTTTCCCTGACTTGGCAAGCTCAGGATGAAGACACAAGTCAGGCCAGGTGCTGTCAGACATTTGAAATTAAGGTATGGCCTGTATTGCTGAGAAATCTTCTAAGTATGCAAAAGCATAGACATCAAAGGATGGACTTCAGGGAACATAAGGCAAGAAAGCCTTCCTGGGAGGTGGGTGGTCACTGAAAGGTGGACACCTAAAGGATGTCTCTTCAAAGCAAAGGAGCTGGTAGCACACAAAGAAGGCAAAACAAACATACCACACCTGGAACTCATGGAGTTACACTGAAGGGACAAGCCAGGTGCTCATCTGAGTCAGACACATCTGCAAGCTCAAACACCACTTCAAGCAGCACCAGTCACACTCTCACCTTGCCTCCCCTGCCTCTCCAGCTGGGACTCAGGGCCTTCTGAGCCTGCCTGCCTTGGAGCAGTGGCTCCCTCAAGGGGCTCCACATCTGGCTGAACCTCTGCCACAACATTCTCATCTCCCTCCTGTTTCTCTTGTGGGACTGAGTAGGCCCCCAAAAATCTCTTTGCTGTGACAGTATGGAGGATGTCCTTCAGCCTGGAGATGCTGTTCCCAGCCTGAGGTTCAAGTGTTGGCTCAGTTACAGACACATCCAAGGAACAGGGTGTGTCCTGAGGTCCTGCTGGACTTGAAACCCCTCCCAGATGTTCAGAGGTGGCAACAAGAGGGGTTGCTTCATCCACTGGGACCAGTGTCGCAGAGATGGTGGTTGCTGCAGCAGCAGTCTTTGTGGACTTGGCTGGTTTAACTCGCACCCATTTATTCACCTCAAGGAAAGCAGAAGAACAGGTTTGAGGATAGGAAGTTGCCCAAATCATCACACAGAAGAGGGCATTTTCCCTAAGGCTGCCTGGCTACAGCCTCCTCTGCTTTCTGCAGGTTTTTTGGACACCCATTCCCAACAAAAGAGCAAGAGCAGGGACTCACTTGAGGGAGCTTTCCCCAGGTCCACCTCATGAGGGATTCAGCCCCTAGAGCAAAACTTTCCTGTGGTTTGATGTCCAATTCAGAATCACTTTTGGGAGAAGATTGATGGCTTAGCACGAAGCTGCAGGAAGAGAAGGTGATGTGGGGCCTCACCTACACTACAGCCCCATGTTCTCCTATCAGTCCAAGGACATTTAAGGCCAAGAACCCTGTAATGCTGGTTTCCCATAGTCACTTCTACCCTATAAGAATGTCACTCCCAAAGAACCAAGACCTATGGAAGCTGAGGCCCCAGAAAGCAAAGTGCTATGCCAGCAGTTGCCCAGAGCAGTTCATCAGCAGACAGCCCTATGCACACAGGCTTCTCACACCAGTGACCACGGCCACAAGTGTCCCTTATGGTCTCTGAGCTTTCCTCCAGCCACCCCATATCAGGCTAGGAAAACTCTCCTCTCCTGATACCTTCAAGTCACTTTTCCATACCTCCTTCCCTGCCATGAGGCATGTACCCTGCTCTCACCAGAGCTGAGCAGAACACCTTGGCTCTGCCCATTACCTGTCCTCTTCAAGCAGCTCCCCATCAGAGTATGGGTATATCTCTCGGGACTGCAACAACTCAGTTTCTTCAGGGAGATCAGCAAAGGATGAACATGCTGCATCACTGCAAGGAGGAAAGAGGAAATTTGTGCTATTCTCAAGCAGCAGCCTCCTCTACAGAAAGCTGGAAATACCCAGCTTCATCATTCCCCCTGGCTTTCTACTCCTCAGGAGACTGGGCTCCAACTTGCAAACGCTTTCCCCCTGTTTCAGTACTGCTGGGCATCACCAAATGAACCCACAGGCTTGACCTACTGCATCACCCTGTCCAGACCAAGCAGCTCACCTTGTGGCTGGCAGCTCGCTTTTGGTCTCATCACAGCTGTCAGAATCAGAGTCCAACTCCATCTTGAGCCTTCTCTTGTGTTCCCTCCTCTTGCACACAATCACTCCAGCGCTGGTGGCCTCCTGCCCACACAGAAGGGTTGAACAGCATCCTTTGGGCTCTGCTTCTTGCAGATGGGGGATGTGCAGAGCAAGAAGGGGATGCTGCCCTGGAACAGGGATGGAGAGGAGCCCATCAGCTCCCTCCAGCACACTCTTTTTCAGCCTAGCAGCTCCTTGCTCTCTATGGAGCATACTATGGAACAGCACAACCAAAACCACTGAACCCTCAGCTCAGGGGTGGTTTTGTGGCCTGGACTAAAAGAGAAGGGTTTATACCCACATCATGTGAATAAAAGACCATTAGGATGATCCAGCCACAAGCTAAAGACATCTTTAACACAGGCAAGGAGAGACAGGCAGGAGATGGCACCAAAGACCAGAATTACCAAGGCTACAAATGGGATTTGACTCCAAAGACCTTTCTGACTTCCAAACCCAGCCCAAGCCAGCAGTGACCATAAGTGTGCCTGAGAGAAGAGCTGACAGGATTTCCGGAAGTCACAACTAGTCTCATCTCACTTCCCACTGGAGCAGGCAGCCTGCCACAGCATCTGTCTCATTCTCATCCCTGTCACAAGATTCCCTGAGAGTTCAAGTTCCAAGATATCCACCTGTCTGGCCAGCAGCCATGCCCATTGATGGGGACCAGTCTGGGATGCAGATATTTGGTCTAATACTCCCTCAGAGTGCTCCACCATGTGAGTTGCAAGGTCCTTTAAGCAGGAACCTTTCCAGACACAGAAAACATCAGACAGGACAATGGAGTCTCTCTGGGGAAGAGCAGCATTCCACACCTGGTCATTCCACCTCAACCCTGCACTTCCAGGTAGTCGCACTGGGACACAAACATGCAGCACCTCCTCATAACCAACCTCATGCTCCTGTGACTCCTCAACAAAGAAGGCCTCTCCATTGTCTCCCAGCTTCATGTGCAGATCCACAGGCTCTCCGTTGATTTCAATGTCAACCTAGCAAGGGACAGAAGCAGCTTGTCCATCTGAACCCCTTCATCCACTGGAGCACTTCCAGATGGTGGAGGTGGGTTGAAGTTGCTCATAGGGCTGTCAGCCACACAGAGGCAAGGGACCTCTCCAAATTTTCCTGGAGAGCACATTACTCCTTGGAAATGGATGGGCTCCACTTGGGGGACATCCCCTCAAAAACATGGCATGCACCCCTTTCAGTGGGCTCCCATTCCCTCCTTTACATAACATGTGGGATTTAGAAGATGCTGGGTCTGGAGACACTGGAAAGGAAGCACAGCCGCAGGGCAGGCACCACTTACCACCTTCTCCTTGGAGCGCAGCACTCCCAGCTTCCCAAAGCGCACATGAAATGGGGAGCACTTGAAGGAGTTGTCAGGCTGCCTCACCACGACCACATCGATGCAGCCCGACAGGGTGGCAGGGTTTAGATCCTGGTACAGCTCCTTCATGGTGACAAAGACATTCTCAGCCAGCTGCCCCACATAGTTCATGGTTTTAGACTGCAAGTGAGAGACAGGAAGAGACCCAGGTAGGGGAAGAGAACTCCAGCAACTAAAGGCAAAGTGAGTTTACTGCAGGAGAGTCATGGCATGGCTGCAACACAGCCCCATCACCGGGACAGGTAAGCCTCTAGAGAAACTGAGGCAAACACCTGAGGACCTTGATGAAAAGCTAAGGCCTCTGTGAGCACCAGAAAACAGGACAGAAGCCAGAGCATGAGTTATTGCATCCAGCTTGGAGGAGAGATGCCCTTGCCATTGGGATACACCATCACATTTTCTCCTTGAGAGGGCAAATACAACCTCACAGCAACACTGCACAGTCAAGCTGTCAACATCCCATTCAAACAAGAACTGGGCTGGCAGGAGACCTCCTGTCCTGCACTGTCTATTGTTTGGGTAGAAATTCCCAAACAACTCATGGCAGAGAGGTAGGAAACCCAAGCTGTTCCATATACCACACACTCACTTTAAATAAAGTCCAAACCTAACATTTCCCACCCAGAGGGAAAGGCATCCCACTCAGGCATTGCAGAATTGCCCAGGCATGGCTCCTGTACAAGCCAGAAGTCTTGTGGTGGGCAGCACAGCCAGGTGGAGGTGTGGTGTCCCCAGCAACTCTCAGCACAGCCCCCAGTGCACACTCAACCCAAAGGGCAGCTGGGGGGGAGTTGGTTCCTTACCCAAAGTGACGATGACAAGCATGTGCCACATGACAAGCCCTCTGCCCTGGCAGGTACCCAGCCTCTCCGATCGATTTTGCATAAGCTCAGCCCTGTCCCATTCCCAGACATCCCTCCTGGAGGGCAGTCTGAGCGGACAGACATGGTTCCCGCTCCATGCCCCGTCCCCCACCTCTCCCTGGCAGCCAGGAGAAAGCCCAAATTCCAGATCCTCTCTGGAAGATGACAGCAGGGAAGTGCTAGCCAGCTCCCGAAGCTTCGGTGGCTCCATCAGCTCTGCTGTGAGCGGGGCCTGGATCACGGGGCCACTCACCAACCTGCTGAGCCCAGCTTTCCCAGGCATTGCTGCCGGGGTGGGCAGCCCTCCAGCTGCCTTCCCTGCTGTGCTGCAGGGCTTGGCACTAACGGGAGACAGCTCCTCTCTGCACATGGGGGCAGCTTTGGAGAGGAGGAATGATCACACTGACCCTGGTGCTCCTCAGGCAGCACTGATGAGCTTCCAGTTGAGATACACACTGAAACAGACCTGAAAAGTGCATAGGGAAAGTCCTGGGCAGAGAAATCCCATGGGATTTGGGGTGGGGGCTCGGAAATAATCCCCAGATGTGATGAACTGAGCACCATCTTCATGGTGAATGCAGAGTGCAAGAGCTCAACATAACACTGCAGCCACACAGCAAAACAAGTGCCAGGGCCATGTCCCCTGTGTAGAGCCACTGTCCCCCCTGCTTCAATGGGCAGCTGCCCCCTCCCCAAGCATCTCATTGCTGGAGACTGCATGGCTATGGTACAGTTGTCAGCTCACTGAAATTTAATTCCCTGTGGGCCTCACCTGGGATGGCTGGAGGAAGGCAGGGAATGGAGAGAAAGAGGCTTTTCCCTGCAGGCCTCGGCCCCACCATGGATGGAGCAGGCCCGTTAGAGAGGTGAAGGGTAGGTTATAGTCTGGAGAGAGATTAATAGGCAGACAGGGCAAAAGAAATGGTCTTCAAGTCATATTCAATAAATAAACCCTCTAGAGGAAAGGGGCATCTCCAGCCCTCAGCCCTCAAACCAGCCAGGATCACAGCCCTCCACCACACAGCTCTTGTGGAGGATGAAGGGGGCAGTCCTCCCCTGCCGACAGCTCGCATCAACCTGCAGACCCAAAGAGCTGCCCAAAATAAACCAGGTGCTTTGCTGACACTCGTCTGCTTTGCTCTTGGGCCGCCCTGCCAGCAGCGCACCCTGCCCACACCCACACCCCGGGCTCCATCCATCACACACCGCAAACCAACAGGACCTTCCCCATCATTACCTGGGCAGCTGCCGAGCCTCAGCACCTCCTCGACGTCGGGGCAAAACTAAACCCCAGGCGTGGCTGTGTGCCGACAGCAGCACTCACCCTCAGCTCCTCCTCTCCCTGCTGCTTCCTTCCCCTCACCTGAGGCAGGGGAGGGCCCGCTCTCCCAAAGAGCCCCGGGCTGACTCCCTGCCTCCCGCCGAGCCTCTGAGGGCCCCGGCAGGCCGGCGGTGGCCCTGGGCTGGCACCGGGGGCTCATCCAGCAGCCCCTTTGCTCCAGCAGCCCGGCCACAGCTGCCTTGTGCCCATGGAGACCCTTCCTTCTCCAACCCACCGTCCTGCTGAAGTCTCAATGGGACATAAAGGGCGACAAAAGCACAGCGGCTCCTCTGCCCTGCATCATCTCCATGGGGATGGGAAAACAGGACACAGTGGAAGGAAAGCACATAAAAGCAGACACTTCAAGAAAATGGATGCTCTCCAGGTCTCAGGGAGCCTGAGAGCAGTGGGGAAGTGACGTGGGAATAGCTGGGTGGACTGGGTGAGAAACAGGTGCTGGGGCTTTTTTGTGGCATTGAATCCCACCATACTATAACTCCAGGGCAGGGATGTGGCTGGTCCACAGCTCTGTCCTGTATTTACCTGACTTCTGTGCTGGTGATTCCCCCGCAGCCTCTCTGCTGGGTTTTGGAGTGATGGGGATTGAGTGGTGGCACTTTAGGGATGGAGGCTCTCACTCATGGAGCTGACATTGTGCTGTGAGGGCAGGGAAGCACCAAAGCTGGAGGGTGGCTGCTCAGAACATCTTTAGTCCCTGAGGAGAAGTATCCAAAGCTTGTTGGCCCCAGCTGATAGGTTGAGCTGCAGAAATGCCACAGCTCATTCCCAGACAAGCTCTGTTAGCACCCAATGCCTCAGTTTCCTGATGTCACCCAGAGGCACAGAGATCCCCCCTGTGCCTGTCCAGTGCCAAGCATGGCCTGGGCACAAGATCCCTGTCCCAACACGGGAACTTTCCTGAAGGCTGTGACAAATCTGCTGAGGAATGAAGCTTATTTTTCAGCAGCTTACTCTTCTGGGAGCTCTGGCCCTTGGTGAAATTGGGTTGAAAGCAGCTGCTGTGGGTGGCCAGCATGGCTGCAGTCCCTGGGGAGGGTGGGCTGGCACTGCAGGGCAGGCGGCTGCCACCAAACCCCACAGCCCATGGCCAGGTCATTGGGCACTTCTGCCCAGCAGGGAAGGAATCTGCTGGAACCTCCATGAAGACACCTTGGGTGTGACACCACCTTCAGGTGATGCCCTTAGACTGGTGCTCGCTGATGCCACTGGAGTGGGTGTCACCCCGGGCAGGGGGTTACATTCTGCAAGCCCTGAGGGTGTAACACAAACCCCAGGGCTGGAACACAAAGGCAAGGACAGATCTGGGCTGCAGATGCCTCATAACTTGTAAAAAGTGCTGCAGAGGACATTCAACAAAGGACATTTGAGCGCAGGACACCATTTCTTCCTCAGCCAGCTGTGTGCATCTGCAGATGAACACAGAGAAGGAACAAAATGCCAGCAGGAGCAAACAGGCATCTCAGCCTTGCTGTGGCTCCAAGCCCCCACCCTCTGGACACAGAGATGAGCTCCTGGCTCTTGGGCACCCTGTAGTAGTACAGACCCCATCACTTACCTCCAAGGTTCCTTGCCCAGCTGCCTTTCCCCACCAATCCATACCCCTAGTTCCTGACACACCAACCTTTGCTTGTGCCCCCATGCCCCTGCAGAAGATCCCCAGCTGTGTCATGGCTCTTGTGAGTAATGGCTGTTCCCCTCTGCATCCTCCCCTGCAATCCAGGCTTTTATTTCCCTCTTCTTTCCTTCTTTCTCCTTCAGAAAGCTTAGAGCACTTTTAATTGCCGTGGTAATTTTTTGCAAAGCCATAAAATCATCCTTGGTTCCTGCCACCTGCTTTTTATACTCCCTTTTACTCCTCTTTCCTCTTTTTTGGAAGGGGAGCTTTGCAGATCCATCCCTCCCTGTGCTTGTAACCCTTCACCCCCCAATTTCTCTGTGAATCTTGTGCATCCTCCCCCAGGAGCTGCTCCAACAGGGAGAGATTTCTTCTCCCTTTTGGGAACTCCACAACCCACAGATGTTTGCAACAAGCCTTTGCATAACAAGACAGATTTTTTTTATTAGTCAACTGAGGTGCAATATTTTAAGCTCCTTGCATTCCAAAAAGCTCACAGGCACATCCAACTTGGCAGCTTTTTTCCTGCATCCCAGCATTCCCCATCCTTCCTGGATGGCAGCCTTCACCTCTAACAGGGGACTTCTGCCTTGTGGGCTCCCCATACCTCACTGATTGTCGTGCTGAAAGCCCTACATCCTGAGATCCTGGGCTTCTCTAGAAAAGCTCCATCCATCCATCCATCCATCCATCCATCCATCCATCCATCCATCCACTTGGCAGATGGGAGCACCCACAAATTTCCCAGGAGCCTCCTTAATTTTCCTCTCTTCCCAAAAGCAAATTATGTCTTCAGTCACAGGATGGGATCCTGCCTTGCTCCATGCCTCTTCACAGGCCTGAAATGTCTGCAGGGAGGTCAGAAGATCCAGCAGCAAGGCAGACTCAAGGAGCTGGCCAACCCACCTGCCTTCATGTTGGCTGAGACCTGACACAGCTCAGCTTCCCCAGAGATGCTGCAGAAGAGGGGAACCAAGCTGATTAAAAAGGGGTCTTACTTTGCTTTTCAGGCAGAAAAGCTGGGGATGGAACAGGAGAAATCCCACCAGCTGTGGGGCTCAGCCAGTAGCTGGGGACACCAGTAGTATTTGATGGCTGGAAGCCCACACTGCAAACCCCTGCAGCATCTGAATCCTCTTTTCACCCCAGAGTCAGGAAGCTCCATTCTCCTGTTCCCTTGTGGCACAATCCTCTGATGACCACCAGCCTGGCTCCTTTCTCCCTGAGTCTGCTCTGTCTTTACCTTCACCAGCATCCCCTTTACATGGGGGTTTCCTGAGAGGCTGGCAAAATCCAGGCAGCAGCCAGGCAGGCTGAGGCACTTTTTGTGCCTTTTCCTGAATGCCGTGCACTGAGCAGGATGCTGCAGGCACCACATGTCTGGTGAGGGACAGCCAGAGCCGTCGAGCTGGGTGACAGCAGTCAATCCACCCATCAAATCCGAGGTCCTTGTGCCAGGCAGCTCCCTGGAGCAGCTGCCTGCTGCTGGCAGGGCTGTCATTCCTGACTGACATTCCTCCGCTCTGACCCTCCAGGGAATCCTGCCAGACGCTGGGATGTGAAAGGGCTTTCTCATTATCATGGCCCCTTCTTCCAGCAGGGAGAATCAGCGTTTTAAAAGGAGGGGAAGGTTGGCAGACCTTCTTGACCCTCAGCTGACTGGGCTGGGGCTCCCATTTCCTTTCCTGGATCAACAAAGAGCTCCAGAGGCTTGTGAAAGGAGTGATTCAGCAAAAGAGGATGAGAGGAGAGACAGAAATACCAAGTCAGCACAGCTGGATGGGGTCAAATTCCCATCCCGTGAAAGCCATGGGGAGCAAGGCTCAGGTGTCCTACTCCCTGAGGCATAGGGACAACTCCTGAAAGTCCAGCTGTTCTGCATACCAGCCCTGGAGTCAGGAATACAACAGGAGAACAGTGTTGTTGGTTTCGTTTCTCTCCCATTCTCAGAAAGATCAAGTCAGACTGGCCTGGCATGTGAAGGAGTGGGTGGGAAAGCCATTTTGCCTGAAGAGGAGGAAATGCCATCCTCAGTCCCCAATCACAAGCATTGAAGAAGCTGAATTACAACCGCAGGACTGGTTGAAACCATCCGTTCTGGTTTAAAAACATGCTCTGCTAATTTGGCTCCTAGCTTCTGACCTGTTGGAAGTTCACATTTCTTCTGTAAACACAAAGGGTTCAAACTTACTTTAAAAAAAAAAAAACCAATAAACAGAAAGCTGCAATTGCCACGCAGTTGTGTGGTTCCAAGAGCCAGGACTTGCAGAGAAACCCAGCAATACCTTCACACCAGGAGAGCTGGGAGCTGTCGTTCCGATTGGGAACGGCTAGAAAGAACGACACAAACTCTTAAGGGAGTTTCAACACGAGAATTCCCTGGTTTATTGCTCTAGGCTTGTCTTATAGACAGATACGTGGAAAGTACAGAAAGGAAACTCTTATTGGTTAGCAAAGTGCTACATTACCATCGTTGGTCAGGGGCTCACCACCCCCCTGACTTTCTCCTGCAAGGGAAAACAAGAGGACAGATAAACATCTCTGAGGATTGTTTTGAAATCCTCCTTTGAATTTCTCAGGCTAGCTTCTCAGGCAGGACTGAGAGGCCATGGGCCTGCAGTTTCTGCAGCTCCCTGCAGCCTGTTCCAAAGCTAGCATCCATAGGGAGCCCTGAGCAAAAACACGGTTCTGAAAAATAAAGTCTCTGAACTGAGAACCCTCAGCTTTTGTGTCCCAGCTCCTGACAATCCAGCTAGGACATGCACTGTGTTGGGGGTTAGATGTCCTTCCTTTTTTTCCGTCTTACCTATGGAATTTTTACCCATTAGTGGCGGGGACATCTGACTGCTGGTACTTAGTGGGTGCTTGAGAAACACAAAGAGTTTGGCTGGGCCCAGGGGGAAAGGAGGACAGGAAAAAGGGAGGGCAGGGGCAGCTGGGGACTGGCAGGTTTCTTCAGCTTCAGAGCAGGACACTCGCTGGGAGTTGCTGCGGCTGAGAGAAGGGAATTCACCATCACACAGACGGAGCTGCTGCTTCTCCTTCCTTCCTCGTTGGTGGCCTCGCACCCCCTGTCCTGCCTGGACATGTGGCAGTGCCAGGCACCGCCGCGGAGCTGCTGTTCCACCTCAGCCACCGGCCCGGGATCTCAGCTCATCCCTGCTGTTCCACCTCAGCCACCGGCCCAGGATCTCAGCTCATCCCTGCTGTTCCACCTCATCCACTGCCCCAGGATCTCAGCTCATCCCTGCTGTTCCACCTCAGCCACCGGCCCAGGATCTCAGCTCATCCCTGCTGATCCACCTCAGCCACCGGCCCGGGATCTCAGCTCATCCCTGCTGTTCCACCTCAGCCACCGGCCCAGGATCTCAGCTCATTCCTCTGCTGATCCACCTCAGCCACCGGCCCAGGATCTCAGCTCATCCCTGCTGTTCCAGCTGAGTGTTCCTCAGAGCCCTGCAGGAGCACCGGGACTGCCC